CAGCTATTCATCCTCCTTAGAACCCACATTTGTCCACTCTGTACCCTGTCTCTTGCTAATTCTCTCCTGCCCAGTCCTGGCTCCTTGCTATTTCCCTTCTTGATATCCTCTTCCTCTCTCACTATGCTCTATTCTCTATCTCTTGCTATCTCACGATCTCTACTGTTCCCTCTTGCTTTTCTACCACCCTAACCCTGATCATGTCCAGTCTACTTTCTTTCTTTCTGCTCTGGACTCTTCCAGATGTCTCTGGTCTCTGGATATTTTTCCTCTTATTCACAACAAAAACATTCCCCTAAAAATGAAATTGTCATACCAGCAGTTTCTTTACTGCACTCCCTGGAGACACGTAAGTATCTGTAGAGGAGTAATATGTAGAAGAGTGTCTAGGGAGGGAGAGCCTCCCTGAATGTGGTCAGCACTGTCTAGGAGACAGAGGCCCAGAGAAAGCAAAGTTGGAGGAAGCATGTGCCAACACTACTGAGTGTTTCCATCCAAGCTACCAGTTTCTAGACTTTGCATCTCAGCTTCTTCAACCTTTTGATATAGGCCCAGTGCTAGCGATCCTTCAGGGAGTTTCCAGACATTTGGTGTCAGCCACTGTTTGCTTAAGTTTTCAGTTTCCAGGACTGAATGTGGTTTGGTTGTGCAAAAAAAAAAAAAAAATCAAAATCAGAAGTCTTTTTGAGTTTTGGTGAGAACATAAAAAAATGATCTATTTCTTCCCTATCAGAAAGGGTCATGGCTAACAGCCTAATATCCCAAAGCAGGCTAACAGTAAAAAAGATAATCACATATTCACAGCCATAGTTTCACATGTCATAGAAACTTCAAAATGAGACCTGAAGATGGAGAGTGAACGACCCTTTTCCTTTTTTTTTTTTTTTTTTTTTCGGGGAAAGGGGGGGGGGGGCTCAATGAAGCATGAACATCCATGTATTATTATGATTGGACAAAAAGATAGTTATCCAACATTAACAGACTAAGCTGGGAATGCGGGAAGGCCTTCTCAGATTCTTCTCAGCATCTCTGTAATATTTCTTGCATTCAGGTAGGGGGTAGGATCACGTTAAATGGTGCTTTGTAAAATCTCATCAACCAAGCTAGTCACTGTACTTTCTATGCTTCATGGCTTATTTTGAGGAAAACATATTCTCATTCTTATGATTTGCCTTAGAAAATGGAAATTCTAGTTTTTAACTTGGTTTGTAGGGAGAAAGAAAAGCAGAAGGAAGCAGATATGAGAGACTTATTTTCTAGAGAGAAGACAGTGCATGATTTTATGTTTCTGGTATATTCACAGGAGTCTTTATACAAGATGTGAACACATACCTTTAGATAAAAGAGCACAAAACCTATAAAGGCTTCCTTCTTGCTCCTTCGTTAGCAAGGGCATTAGTTTTTAAAAATAATGTATACATGTGTCTGAGTGAATACATTTTCTGTGTGTGCAGTGACTGGCAGATGTCAGAAGATGTTGGATCTCGACTGGTATCCAATATCAAGTCGTTAGCCCTGAAATCATATACATAATTTATGAAATGGGCAGGTTGTAGTTATATACAATGTGTGTATTCCTAAATATATAAATACAATATATATGAACTGTATGTGTATATATATAGTGGTGGGTTGAATAAAAATGGGCTCAATAGCCCCATAGGGAGTGGCACTATTAGGAGGTGTGGTCTTGTTTGAGGAAGTGTGTCACTGGGGGCAGGCTTGAAGTTGCAGAAGCTCAAGCCAGGCCGAGTGTCTCACTGTCTCTTCCTGCTGCCTTCAGATCCAGATGTAGAACTCTCAGCTCCTTTCCAGCAGCGTATCTACTGCATTCTACCATGCTTCCCACCATGATCATAGTGGACTAAACCTCCAAACTGTAAGCCAGCCCCAAGTAAATATTTTCCTTATAAAAGTTGCCATGGTCATGGTATAAAACCCCAACTAATACATACAATATTGTGTGTGAATTAACAACAATTAAAGAGAGACTATGAATTTGGGAGAAGTCATGGAAGGAGTACATGAGAGGGGTTGAAGGAAAGAAAAGGAAGGAATGATGAAACTGTAATTCCAAAAGATTGGGTTGGGAATTCGGAGCACACAAATTCAATTGAACAGGGTTCCAGGCCAGGCTATGGAGCAGGTAAACGAGCTGAAAGAGAAAGGCAACAAGGCTGAGTGCGGGGAACATGGACTGTGCCTTACAGTGCTACTCTGAGCCAATTAAACTAGATCCCCAGAAACATGTGCTTTGTAGCAATCACTGCAGCCAAAAAGGGGAATACCAGAAGCCCTATGAGGATGCCTGCAAGACAGTTGACCGAAGCCTGACTGGGGCAAGGGTTATTCAAGAAAAGCAGCAGCCCTTGAGTTTCAAAACCTATTTGAAAAAGCCAAACGAACCTATGAAGAGGGTTTAGTCATGGTTACTTAAAATAAATAAATAAATAGATAAATAAATAAATAAATAAATAAATAAATAAAAATTACTTCAAAAAAGGAAAAAGAATGAAAATAAGTAGAGCACAGGGAAAAATGGCCAAGAGCAGACTTTCACTGCTCTGAGAGTCTGTATCTCAGTGGCACTGTGACCACAGTGTAAGAGAATGCAGTTCAATCTGAGCAAGGTTTTGTAATTCAAAGTAGGGAAGGGGTAAGAGCATGGCCTCTCCAGACCTGGAAACTGGGTTTTTGAATAAACAACTTTTCAAAACTGTGAGTTGGGAGATAAGTCAGATTGTCTCCAGGCTCCAGGGTATAAGGGGTTAGAGCTGTATTGCACTTCCTAAAGTCTTGGGCCTGTTTCATGGTTCTGGTTTGGAAGAAGGGGTATTCCTTTAGGATTCCTTGGAGCTGGCCTTACAGGCTCTTGTATGTTGCCCAGTATGGGTTCTGGGAACCAAACTGTGGTCCTCTGGAAGAGCAGCAAGCACTTGTAACCACTGAGCCATCTCTCCATCCTAGGGGATCACTTATTTTGATGCTACTGAAACTTAGCAGCATTAAGAGCTATGTGGGGGAAATGGGTTGCCATTTGCTATTCTGCATATAGTTTATATGATGCGATTTCATGTGGAGGCAAACAAAATAATGTGAAAAAGAAAATGCTGTGTGTGGCTTGAAAAGGAATGGCCCCCACAGGCTCACCAGGGAGTGGCACTATCTGAAAGGATCAGGGAGTGCAGCCTTGATGGTAGCAGTGTGTCACGGGGGTGGGCTCTGAGGTTTCAAAAAGCCCATGACAAGCCCAGAGTTCCTCTCTTCCTGCTGCCTGCAGATCTGGATGCAGATCTCTCAGCTCCTTCTACAGTGTATCTGTCAGCATGTCACCATGCTTCCGGCCATGATGATTGTGTGCTACACCTCTGAAACTGCACGCAAACCCCAATTAAATGCTCCCTTTCATAAAAGTTGCTTTGGTCACGGTGTCTCTCCACAGCAACAGAACCCTAGGCACCTTGCTTGGTTTACTGTCCTTTGTCTAGTAGACTATGGTCACCTCTCAAAACATGGCATGCCTCTGCAATGCAGTAATACACATCCACACATATTCGGGGGGGGGGATCTTTCCACGGCTGAGTGCATTTATTTATTTGCATTTGTTTGTTCACTCAGCGCTTAACACTTAAATCAAGGCAGTTTTCAAATACACTGATGAATCACAAACATCAGAAACGCAGCTTCAGATACTGCTGACATTGGTAGCTTTTGAGTTAGTGGAAGCTAGTGAATCACAAGGATGTTAGATCAGACACAGAGATGGGCAATGAATGGCTACTGAGGGGAACAAAATATAACCCAGGATAACTTAGCTCTGGATCTGCAACATTCCACATTGTTAGAAATAATCCTCCTGGAAATTTTTCTTTAAAAGTATGCCTATGTGTGTCTGTGCACACACAGGTCCTTGCAGAGACTGGAGGTGTTAAGATCCCATGGAGTTGAAAGTTGAAGATACAGGTGCTTGTGAGCAGCGAGATTCGGGTGCTGGGAACCGAAATCAGGTCTTCTGGAAGAGCACTACGTATTCTTACCTAGTGGGACATGTCTCCAGCTCCTCTTCAGCAAACTTCAACATACATGTCTTTTTTTCTGACAGTTCACAGATGTTCCCTAGAATATGGCCTTAAGGAGGGTGTGAGGGTTGGCCACAAAACAAATACAACTTTGATTCTCGTTGCATTTAAAATAAAAATCTTCACGACAACTGTGTTTTCCTAAGTTTACCAGGGCCATGGTTTGGGAAGTCAGACCTGAAAGAGGACTAGACACAGCGGCGCTACCACACTTTAAGGGCGCAGGGCGAATTTTATTGTAGCAGGCACAAAGTTCTCATACCACTTAGGCAGGCCCAGCAGCCATCCTCCTACCCTGAAAGTTCAAGGTCTCCGCCAGATTGCTGGGAGCGGCAAGGGGTTGGCTGGCCGGAGCCCCGACAGGAAAGAAGCCCGAGGAGGCGCCAAGTACTCCGCGAAGCTGAAAACGACTCCACCCGCTGGCCTCCCAACCCGCCAGGGCCACCGCGCCCTTCCCGCACCCCGCAAAGGCCACACCTACCATCCCGGCCCTCCCACCGAGCGAAGTCCGGGTGGGCAGCTCCCCCTCCCGGGGCGCAGACGGTAGGGCGGGCCCGCCTGGCCCGATGGCGTCGCCAGCAACGGGCGAGTAGCAACGCGAGGACAGCAAAGCGAGGGCGGGGCCTACGGCGCGCCCGCACCGCGCGGTCCACTCGGCGCCCGCGGCTCTTTCCCGAGGGCCCGGACGAGGGGGCGGGATCCGGCAGGCGTGTGCCACCGCGCCCCGCCCACACGCTCCCTGTACCGCCGCCTCGGAACAGTCGGTCCTGGCAAGGAAGGGCCCGGCGCACGGCGATGGCGTCACCGAAACGAGCGCTCAGCCCGAACGGAACAATCTCGGGCGACGCCTCGGGTGGGGGCGGGCCTTTGCGCACCGTGATTACGTCAGGCCCCGCCCTCTCGGGGAGTGGAGCGGCGGCGCCCGCGGTCCCCCTCCGAGGGGCGCTGGCGCGCGGGGCGGAGCGACCGGCCGCCGTGTGTGGGAGTGCCGCGCCCGCCTCGGCCGGGAGGAGTGCGCTGCGCGGTGGGCGATGAGGGGCGCGGGCGACGAGGGTCCGGAGGCCGCCGCTGGCCGCGCCGGAGGCCGCTCGGAGCCCGAGGCCCCGGGCAGCGCGCTGAGCGTGGACCTGCCGGGGCTGCTGGGGCAGCTGGCGCGCAGCTTCGCGCTGCTGCTGCCGGTGTACGCCCTCGGCTACCTGGGGCTGAGCTTCAGCTGGGTGCTGCTGGCGCTCGGGCTTCTCGCCTGGTGCCGCCGCAGCCGCGGCCTCAAGGCCAGCCGCCTGTGCCGTGCGCTGGCCCTGCTGGAGGACGAGGAGCGAGCCGTGCGCCTGGGGGTGCGCGCCTGCGACTTGCCCGCCTGGGTGAGTGCTGTCCCCGAACCTGAGCGGAGTCAGCTCGGCTGCGCCCTTCTCCCTTCCCTACGGACGGGTGGGGACTCAAGCTTCATCCCAGTGCGGTGTCCGCCACCGCTTGCCCCGGATCTTAGTTCGATCCGGGGGTCCAGCGAGTCAGTGCTACCGCTGTCAGCCTGCTCCTTGCTCTCCGCCTACCTGCTTTCCTTGGGCGTTGGGGTGAAGTTCTGGCTACCGTGGCCCACCCAGGCCCCAAACCAGGGCCTGCGTCTGGGTCTCACTTGCTGCCTGCGCACCCACGTCCCACACCTAGGTCAGGTATCCTCATTGCTGTCCCCACCCTCGTCCAGGGCGAGGTGCCCTGGTCAGTATCTCTCAGTCTACTCTCAGTCCTCTTCCTGTCTTTTCCTCCTCACCGCGTCGCTAGCAGAAGAGCGCAGGTAGTGAAGATTTCCTAACTTGGCAGTATTGGTCGTTGCCAGTTGCTGGGCCTTTTCCTCCCCTCAGGCTAGAAGTGACTACCGCCCCAAAGCATTCCTTGGTGGGCGGAGAGATGGTCTCTGTCGTCCCTAGTGATCCTGTAAACCTTTTGCCAGCGACGCTGCAGGGCTGGAAATGTCCACATTCTCACTTTTGGTTTAAGAAGTAGTGACAGCCAATGTGGGGAGAAGTCAATCCAGAATTCAAGTAGACTCATTCATTACTGAATTGTCCCAGGAAAGCTTCTATTAGATTAATTGAAGTGTTTGTTTTGGTTTTTAAAATGCCAGATATAAGACTAAGCACGTTCGTACGATCTTTCTAGATCCAGGGTGAACATATATGGTCGGAAGGTTTGAAAGAGTGAACGAACAGTAATGATGAGTTATGGTATTATTTTGTTTTTCCTAAAGTAGCTTTCTACTTACTGAGTATGTGAACCTATTGGAGAAGCTTAATCATTTTTTTCTCCTCACTGTCTTTCTTAGGGAGGAGTTAGTGTCACGGTTTCTGATAGAAGGAAATAGTGCATAGTTTACGGTAAATGTTGCGCACGTCTGTGTGAAGTAGACAGCCGAGAGTTTTAGAAGGGAGAACGACGGAATTTAAGTGGAGAAAGAACTTGGACAGGGCTCCCCCTTTCCAGCTAGGAAACACTTGAGAAATGTGGTACAAATATCACAAAGCAAAAGTGAAAAAGTAGGGGTTCCCAGAACGAAGAGGAACATAATGGGGAGCGCCGTGTGATGACAACTACCGACTGAAATAAGCACTGAAATAGCGAGGTACTTTTGAGGTTGAAAATTCTGCACAGAGGTGCAGAGTTTGGCGGGCAGTAACGTTTTGGAAACTGAAAGTGACTGGTATGGTATACCATCTAGATAGCAGTAAAGGAATGTATAAAAACAGGAAATTAGAACAGCCAAGGTGAGGAAAAACAAGAACCAGTGGTTCATTCTGGAATGCTGTAGTGGTATCTTGTGTCCCTGCCACTCTAACTTAAATGATGTCAGGAAGCTGGTAAAAATTGTAATAGTTAAATGACCAGACAACACAGTGATACTGAAGTCTTCGGGAGCGGCAGTGCTAACTTTCAGAAATAGCTGGTTACTGGGCAACTGACATAAACTAGCTTTTAAAACATTGTTTGCAAAATGCAAATATTTTCACAATGGAAATAAAATACAATTGCTCATGTAATGACCTAAAAATGGAATAAGAAGTAATTGGCCAGTTTTCTTGTTGTTAGTTTTATTGGGTTTTCCCGTGCAGTGTTAGGGTCAGACCTAAGGCTTCCAGCATGATAGTAAAGTGGTCTACCCATTGAACTACATTGACAACTCCTGAAAAGTTTGGTTTGGTTGTTTGGAAACAAGATCTCACTTCGGGGCCAAGGTTGATCATCCTGCCTCAGCCACAGAGTAGTGAGATTAGATATGTGCTAAAATTCTTATCTGGTTCCTGGGCTTTCTGGATATTGGGTTGGTATTTTGTCTTGAATAAGATGTACATGCCAAAGACTGTGTGTGTTTTAAGTGCCATTGGTGACTATGATTCATGGTGGGGTGGAAGCATGAGCTAGTTCCTATTCTCACCATTAGATAGATTTACCCACAGCCTTTCATTTTATTTAGCAAAATGAAAATTTAAGCTGCACATGGGCTTAGGGACAATGCTGCACTTAGATGTTTATTTGAAACTCAGAACTTGATAGAATAAAGTGTGATTTTTTTTCCTGTTTTTACTACTGCCAGTAAATGCTGATGTAATGGCTGCAAATATATAGAAACATCAACCTCTTGTGTACGGTGTGCCTGACTTGATGAAAGGTGCTCTTCTAGTATTCAAACATTTGAGTTACTGAGAACTGAAAGAGTCCACTTCTTTGTATATGTTCTGTTGTGTACACCTTTGGAGGGAGACAGCTTTCTTCCCAGTGTTCTTCTGGAAGCCTAGAAGAATGTAAGTCTAGCCAACATATGGTAGTTATAATCTAGGAACAAGATAAATAAAAGATTGCAGGGTAGACTCATGCAAAGAAAGAACAAGTAATTGGCTTTGTTGACACTTTCAGAAAGTTTTATGAGAGTTGTATCGGCTTGGTATAGAATTTAGGCATTTTAATCTGAGCACTCCCTTGAGGGTGAGACAGAGTGCTGCTGAGTTTCTTCTTTAAAGTCACACCTACTTATGCTCAGGTAGTACAGGCTGTGCCAATTAGATCACATTGCCATATGTGTTCTAAGTGTTCCAGTAACTTAGAGCATAGAGTCCTGAGGTTTAGAAAAATAATCAGTAAATACCTGGGTTGTTATTTAAACTATAGTAAATTCAAATTTACCATGTATGTATCCATCAGCCTGTATGTTCAGGCTTCAGCTGTATTTTTATTTCAGATTAATATCATATTTAGTTTAATTTAAAGATGGGACTTAGATCAAATATGAGTACTTTATAGATATGAGTAACATGTCTATAAATCTAGTGTGTACATTGGTTTGTGTACCTATAATTTTGCAATATTCTGTGTGTGGTCTCTTGGATTTTGTTAACAGTATGAAATCATCTGTTTTTTTAATTTCTCAGACAGTCATAGTTAGATGACATGTATAAAGTCATCCTGTCTTCACATTTATATTCTTCCTAGGTAGATGTAACTGACAAACCGGTAGGTAGGCTGTAGATAGCCTTTAGCATGTTGCTGACTTGTGGCCAAACTGTGCGGATCTTGTCTGCTGGACCTGGGACCTGAGGCCCTGACAGAGTGGGGGGACTGCAGCGATCGCTGTAGAGCATCTTGCTTCAGCTGCACACGGATGTCACAGAGAGAGCCATGACTAAGGAAGGGTGACTTCAGAAAAACATCCTAAATATTAACAGAGCAGCCTGCCCCAGAACTTTCTTTGGTCAGACCAGGGGAAACGCAGTTGCCTGGCACATCGTGCAGATTATTTCTGGGAGAGCCAAAGGGAAGACAAAGTGCCATGTCCAGATTCAGGGTACGCTGAGAACAGATTGGGCTTTCACCAGATTGGGCTCTACAGCTTTGCTCTGACATCCAACAAGAATAAAAATATCTTATAAATTGAATGTAAATGTTTTCACAGGAGGCACAAACTCGCTTTCAAAAACAATCCAGGTAGCAAAATGCACGTGAAGTAAAAGACCCTCTGCCTTTTTCCTGGAGCCTCTCTCTCACTTCTGCAAGGCATTGTTCACCATTGGTTTTGTTTGTTTGTTTGTTTGTTTGTTTTTGCTTTTTGCTTTTTTTGAGACAGGGCTTCTCTGTGTACCCTTAGCTGTCCTGGAACTCACTCTGTAGACTAGACTGGCCTCTTAACTCAGAGATCTGCATGCCTCTGCCTCCCAAGTGCTGGGATTAAAGACTCACACCGTCACTGCTCGGCCCCACTTTTTTATTTTTTCAGCAGAGATGCTCTGGTTTTGCTGTCATTTGGTCTTCTTTATTTGCTAATTTTTAAGAAAGCTACAAAGGACTTCTTTTTATGCTTTTGAAACTACACTCCCGTGACACACTTCCTGCACCATGGCCACACCTCCTCACTCTTCTCAAACAGTTTCATCCACTGGGAACCAGGCATTCCAGTATCTTAGCTGTTACCGTTCACACCGTCATACGAGCCTTAGGAGAGACATTCTGTACTCCAAGTGTGCTAGGTCCTAATGACACAGAAATGGGCACAACAAGGCTGTGAACTCAGGAAATACGACCCGTCTACAATGTAGACCTTTAAAAAGCCATACTGTACATTGGTAGTCTTGTTTTCCCAGCCCCAGTTTATATACTTAATATTTTCTTTGTTGAAAACAGACTCTGTTTAGCCCAGGATGGCTTCAAAGTCATGATCCTCAGATTCAAGAGTGCTGTAATTATAGCCGCTGTGCCCATTCTGTTTCTTTTTTAACTGTTGGAAACTGTACATATTTATAGTGTACACATGTCACTCTGAAATACATACATGCATTGTATATATAGATATATATATACAATATATAGATATATATAGATATCAGTGGCTGAACTGAACTATTAACATAGCCATTACTTCTCATCTTTACCAAGTTGTTTCTTCATAGTGAGAAAATCTCTTAGTACTTTTTAAGAATTCATAAAATTGTTATTAACTGTGGTTACCATGATGTACAATATATCTCTAGAATACAATACTCCTCCTAACTGAAATTTTATATCCTTTGATTACTATTTCCCCTCTACTCCTTTGTGGTTTCCTTGTCTTATAAAGTTAAAAACATTATGAAAATATTTAAGGTTTCATTGATTTATTTTATTTCCTCATTTGTTTTGATTGTGGGTCTCATTCGTACCAGGCTAGCATCAAAATCACTATGTAGCTGAGGATGAGCCTCCTGCCTTCTCCTCCTGAGTGCTGACTTTACAGGAGTGTCCCACCATGCCTGGTGTGTGTGGTTCTGGGGTTCAGCCCACATCTCCTATTTCCTAGGCAAGCACTCTGCCAGCTGAGTTACATCTCTAGTTACATCTCAAG